AGTCTGCAGGGTGAGTTCTGCCCCTCCCACACCACCAGGATAAAGAGCTTTGCCCTTGCTCAGATCTCCATATGCCCAAGATCACATTGCAAAGCAAACAGGGCTTTAAGTGGGACAAAAGGCTTTTCCAGCCTGTAGCATCATCCCAGCGGGGCAAGGAGGAAAGCAACCGGTCTCAGGCAGGCTCTGGTAGAAGCTGGTTGTTGCACGTGTTCCCTTTCTCAACAGAGCTCCCTCCTCGGGTAAGCATCCTGTTTCTGGAAACTCTCCAACATGCTCCTGAATTAGCTGGGAAGGTGGTGAGAGCTAGGCAGGGCTGAGCCTGGGTCCGACTCCCAGCCATGGGGGCTGTGCACAGTATCAGTACAGGGGTCGACACTCCAGTGGAGAATCCCACTAGCAATACTGCAATTCAGTGCAGGTTCTGACAGCAAAGATGCTGCCTTTTGCATTCCCTTTCACAGCAGGAGGGACAGGGCTGAGGGCAGAGGCCTGCACTGTGGAGGGGCAAAGACGACTCATGGTAGAGCAGGGAAGCAGGGTGGGAAGGAAGAACCGGTTTGGTGGGGTGGCTGGCCGGCCGGCCAAGGTTCAGCAACCCCAGCTGGCACTGGCAGATTTTGCTGGTGTGCTCAGAGAACCCCTTGTTTTTTATTCCAGATTGCCCAGCTGCCGCTGAGCGGCGGAGTCAGTGCGATGTTCTTCCTGCCGCAGAAGGTGACCCAGAACATGACGCTGATCGAGGAGAGTCTCACCTCGGAGTTTGTCCATGACATAGACAAGGAGCTGAAGACCATCCCCGCTGTGCTGAGCATGCCCAGGCTGACGCTGAGCTCCGAGGGGGCACTTGGTAGCACGCTGCAAGAGATGAGTATGTGCGCAGCATGGCGCTCTGTGGGCAGCTGGGGCTCAGAGTAGTAGGCAGAGCTGCTCCTCCAGCTCCCTGAGAACAAGCAGCCAGTGGTCACGAGTCAGGTCCTGCTGTCCAATATATGGACTTCCCTGACAACTGCAACAGGCCCTACCACCTCCCATAGGCTCCCCTCCCCCAGTGAGCTCAGCCAACGGGCTCTAGGACGGCTCTCATAGCACGGCCCCACTGCTGCACTCTCTACTTACCCTCCCACAAGGGGGCCCTTCTTCCAGGCTAATGGAATCTTCCTCCTTTCCCACAGGGCTCCAGTCGCTCTTCACATCACCTGACTTCAGCAAGATTTCTCCCAAACCCACCAAGCTCTCTCACGTGCAACACCAGGCAGTCCTGGAACTAAACGAAGACGGGGCAGGATCCACACCAAACCCTGTTCCAAATGCTGCTCGCCTGACCTTCCCTCTCGACTACCATCTGGACAGACCTTTCCTTGTTGTGCTGCGAGACGACGCCACGGGAACCCTGCTCTTTATTGGCAAAGTCCTGGACCCGAGGAGCACTTAGCTCCCTCCAGAAAGGCTGGGTAACCGGGAGGGATGCTGGCTCCCTGCTCTGTTGTATGGTCAAACTTGCAAATCTTCTGCCTACATGCTGCAATAAAAGAGCTTTTGCCACTAACCTCTCGAAGTGCTGCAGTGTTCTCCCTTGTACCACGGGCCCTAGTCCCGTTCGCTTCTGATCCCTCCATCCCCGTTTCCCAGAGTTCCCCCAACATCACCGCACGGCCACTCTGTTCTGGCCCAGGCTCTAGTGCACCCCCTTCATCTTGGGCTCTTAAGGCGCGCCTGCCTCATTCCAGCCCAGTGTCTCATGTTTGCAGGAGCAGGTGTGCTGAGCGGCAGGCAAGAACTTCACCGCTCCCGCCCCAGGCCCAACACTGTTGTTTTGGAAGTGAACAGGGGTGGGCATGGAGAGAGGGCAGTATGCAGAGGGCCAATAGTCAACCCTCCAGGGAAGAGCCACCATGTCTGGAATGGTAAGAAATCCTGCAGCAACGTTCCTCTCCAGGAGACAGCCCTTCTGCCAGTAGCACACTGATGTCCAGTGACCAGCTTCGCTCCCCAGCTCACAGCCAGGCCTCGTTTGCATGGCTGCCCTGCCACTCAGAGCTCAGCACAGCAGCTTCCTTTCTTAGTCACTCAACCCTGTGACGGAGGCTTCGGGGCAGCTCCAGCAGACAGGCTCTCATTTCCCGCAGTTCCTGGACCTGGGCGCTCTGCGGGCCACCGCTCACAGACAAAACCTCCTCTGCTCTTTGAATCGTGCTCAGAGCTTCAGACACTGCAAACCTAAGTGCAGAGGGCAGGAGTGCGGAACAGAGTTAGGGGCAGAACTCACTCAGCACACCTGATGCAGCCATTCGTTCAGTAGCCTTCATCCTTTCCCCCATTTGGCACCTCAGCCAGGGCAACGGAGGCACCTCTCTCTCTCTCTCCTTTCACGGAGACAGACAACTTCCTTGATCAGAGGAGTAGGATTACCCTGCCACATCCCATCACCGCCAGGGAAAAGCCCTCTGCTTTAAGCTAGGGGAACTCAGAATGCTTCACCCTTGAATCAACAGCCATGTCACCAGACTGACTCTTACGGGGGGAGGGGAGGGAAACAGTCAAACCAGAAGTACTGAGAGAGGGGCTACAAAAAGAGTAATGGGATTTGCTGGCCAGGGGCTCGAGGAAGTGTCTGAGGGGCTGTCATTTTAAAACTTATCCAAATATTTCCATGTCTCTCTCTCATCCTGGCTAAAAGGCAGATGCTTCCCCTTAGCCAAAACATCCAGAACTTGGAGAAAACTTGCAAAGGGACTAATGATGCCAAGGGCCTCCTGCCACATCCCCATCTCAGAGAGACGAGGCACATGGGCTAAAGCAGGAAAGAGGTGTAAAATGAAGGGTGAGATTGTGGGAATGGGGCTCTTTACCCATTAAAGAGGATCTGTGCCAGTTTGAAGAGTTCATGACCCATTTCCACACTGGATGGCCCATGGTGAGCTTCCACAATTTGAATGCTGCGCCGCAGGTGCCCAGCTGCTGCCTGCCACTTTCCTGGCAAAAGAGAGAATTGATTATTAGAGCTCCTTTCTCTAGTCTCTGCCATGGAAAGAACTTCTAACCTGTGTCAAGTAACGCTCACAGCCCTTCCGGGAGGTATCAGAGGGGTGTGATTCGCATTGCACAGAGTGGGAAACTGAGGCATCAAAGATCATAGAGCCTCTTCCTATTGGTTGGGAATAGAGCTTGGGGCTAAAATGATTCCTAAGAAGACTCTTCTACGTCAAACTTAGTGGGCTACAATAAGAGGGGGATGAAAGAACGGGAACTCACTGGGCAGGGGATCTCCTTCTACCGATGTAGAATGAATAGGCCAGTCACATGAAAATGATGCCGGAGGGACAGAAGACAGCTTACCAAGCATGGCATAACCCTGTGCCAGGCGATCCTCAATCTCGCCCACCAGCAAGTGCTCTGCAGACAGGAAGTTTTCAGCATCCACCCGGCACCTCAGCAGCAGCTCAACAGCCTGATCTGCAAATCCAGGAAGAAGAGCACTTCGCTGTGCTACACAAATCCATTCCAGGTACCAGTCGCTAGCTAGCTGTGATTTGTGAGGTGAGATCAGGTCCAGTTCTAGTCCCCCACCAGCCTTGAACAGTTTGCCCTGGACTTTATATGCTGTTCTTGCAGAATTTGCTAGTTCACCATGCTAACCTAATGCAGGGTCACCAGGAGCAGGGGGCCTTCTGAAACATGGAGTCTTGGCACCTGAACGTTTAACATTGCCCTACATTACCTCATATTCCAGTGGAGCAAATGTGTGAGTTAGCCTCCCAGTCTGATCAGCAGTATAAGCAGCCTCCCACTTGTGCTCCCATGAATTCCAGCTTCATATCAGCAGTACCTAAAATGATTGGGACTAACTGCCATCTGGTGGCTGGGACCAGGATCTCACGATGAAGTTTACTTGTACTTGCGTAAGGAACTGAACCAAGTCCAAGGCAGATGGCTGGCTCTCTTACTAGGCTGGTTGTCTTTGAGAAGTTCAAGCGCTGTTCTAATTTGCATCTGAAGGTCCCCCAACCGGCGTAGAAGGAAATCCCTGCCAACCAACGGCATACAAGCACCACTGGAACAACGGAGCACATCTTCCCCCTGTGGAAGTCATAGAACTGTAAGGTCCTCAAGGGGTCTTCTAGTCCAGTCACCTGCACTGAAGGCAGGACTAAGTTATCTAAACCAAGCCACCTTTACAATTATTTTTGCACACAGAAAGCACAGAGTCATGTGTCTCCATGCTCTTATTGTGTATTACAGCACTATTACACTGTTTTCCAGCCTCAAGGAGGCAGCTTGCCAGTGTGCTGGTGTTATCTCTTCAGAGCTCTGGATAAAAGCTGAAGTAGCAGCTCTGGCAATGTACCAGCCTGAGCCACCACCTCATTAATCTTCACAGAAAATACATGTTCCTTCCCTCTTTCTTGAAGACGTATGGCTCAACAGCTGTGCAACACGGCTGTTCAGGGCACTTTACAATAACAGATGAAACAGAATCTCTCTCCTCAAGAGCTTACAGCCTAAAGACAAGACCACCACTGCGAGGGTGGTGGAGGGTTTGGGCAAAGTTCATAAGATCTTGTGCTTGGTTGGGACAATGCACACATCCTCCTAGACCAGGGCTACTCAACTTCGGAATCCTCAGGGGCCACAATGATACTCACAGCACATGCCAAGGGTCGCAACTTAAGTGTGGTTGCATATACAAGCAAATATATATACAAACAGCTTCTTTCACACTGACAGGCATGAATACAAAGATGAAGGCAACACTACACAACACGCAGGCCCCATTTCAGTCAGTTCTGCTGATATTAATAAAATGCAACATTTACCCGATTCCCAACCATACGACAGCACTTTGAACGAGCAATGACAGTCCAGGAATTGAACTACTAAAACGCACCGCAACAGAAAACAATTGACAACTTTTTTGTTCTGGCTCCCACCCACGGGCCACGCGTTGAGAGTAGCCCTGTCCTAGGTCCTTAGCAGGGATCGTTTTAGTTTATAAGCCTTCCTTGAGAAGCGCGTTTTGTGAAGGGATTACTGAGAGCAAGGGCACAGGGCAGACAATATCACTGGGGGTTTCCATACATTTGGAGAATGGGGTGTGGAGGTGAAAACAGTACTTGAGTGGGACCCCCGGACTGTGACAATCTTTCCCTCTGGACAGGCTGGAGATATACAAGTCACTCTTCCAAGAGGGTTACAAGAGAACCAGACCATCCCTCACTTTGGCCTAATCCCAAGAGCATGGGCAATGGAGTCAGATCTAACTCTTCAGACTTACCCAGTCGTGACTAGTAAACAGTTACCTGCATTGGTGCATGGCAGCTGGAACAGCAGAATCTCTCCCTTGGGGCTGCTATGCCTGTGACATCAGTTCCCAACTCATCCAGGCAGGTCTGGCATTGACACTCAAAGAAATACTGACAAAGGAGCCATCGCTGCCTCTCAGCAGCCCCCATCCTGCAATAGTGCGGCCCTAAAACAGGATGAGAAAGAGCGAAGGAGATAATACATGATGAAAGCAGGAAAGTGGGTACCCCACTACAGACTGACACCCACCCTGCTGTAGGTTGAGGAGGAATCCATCATCAGTGACTTCATTACAATTTGGGTTTCTCACCCACATGTGAAACCTTGCAGTGTAATCAATGGGACTGAAAAAGGGATTGATGAGGCCCAGTACCTCTATGCCCGGGATATAAACAGTGGGTCCCACAGTTTGAGAGTGACTGTAAGAGACAAACAGCAGGACTAGGAGGTCTCATGCAGATGTTATTGATGCAGAGTTATGCATAAATACACGTGTGTGGGGACAGAATGGAGACAAACTCCAGATACATGTTCAGAAATGCAATCCTCACGGGTGTGATCCTGCAGGGAGCACAGAGGTGAAAGGTCACTTCTGCATCCTATGTGTTCCTGAAAAAGAATGCACTAGCAAGACTGCCACTTACCATAGCAATGGAAAATCTCTTGCCCTCTTGTGATTGGGTGAGATGCCCTGACTGTGGCAGCAGTCCCGCTGAAAGTCACACTTGTATTAGGGTCGCAGGAATGGTTCAGGAGACTGGTGACAGGGAAGAGGGCTGTGGCCAGGCGCACCTGTTCACTGTTTGCAACAGCGCTGTCTCCAGATGCTAAAGACCACACAACACAGAAGAGGCCAAATACATCATGAAATCAGACCCAGTGACCCACTTTGTCCTTATTCTAGGTATTGAAACTAATCAAAACAAATCAGCAGCAGCAAAAGCAGCTTATGGTGTCTTAATGTAATAAAAAACGAATAATTACTAAACAAAAATGAAAGCAGCTATGCTCAGTCTGACCATGCAGAGGTTTTGGGCAATCATCTCCCTGTTTGAATCCACAGGGAAAGCAAATACTTCCTAGACAGCTGAAGATAAGCCAACCTTGAAGGTCCAGTGTAGACCTGGCCCAGAGGAATAGAACTTAAGGTATGCAACTCCAGCTACGTAAAATGTGTAGCTGGAGCTGGCTTACCTTCAGTTGAGCTGTGGTTGTTTTCCTTACTCCCCACAAAAGGAAGAGGACACTAGACGCCAGTGGGAGCTGCCCTGCGCATTCGATTTACGGGTATATACCAGACCTGCTAAATCGAATGCCATATCAACCTCCGGAGCATGGATCTTCCGGTAAGTAAAGTCATGCCCCTGGAGTGGCACTGAAAAACAAATACTAAGTTTAAATATTTGGTTTAGCTGCTGTTTAGCCAAAATATTTTTAAAAACTAAAAATTTTAACAGTTTAGAAACCTCCACATCTAAATGAGAAGCAGAGCCTCTAAGCTCTACTCTGTGCTATTATACTTGGCAAAATTAGATATATTAATCTTTTTATGTGTCAACAGATGTGTCTATGGCATTTCACCCAATTGTTATTAATTTAAGTTTCTATGTGTGCAAAATTATGGGCAATGAGCATTTTTTTCTATTTTCACGGTTGTGAGAAATTATGGGGGACTCAGACAATCATTTAATGGCAGTAGACAGATTCAAGAAGTTAAAGCTTTATAGCTATTAAAACAAATTGTCAACACCAGTGTGAAAATATACAAAGTAAATATCCTTAAATCAAACTACTTCTCAAACAGCATTTTTCTTAGATGGTCTATTTCACATTTTTGATTAAAGCATTGTTCCCCTCTTTGTGTATATATGGTGAATCTGATGTTTACTGATTATTTGGTGGAAAAAGTTTAATCCTTCCAAAACAAATTATCTATCAAACTAGGGAAATGCAGTCTAGATGAAACTCTTGTAAGCTGGGTGCACAAGTGGTTAAAAGACTCTACTCAGAGTACTTATCTATGGATCACTGTCAAAGTAAAAGGGAATATGCAGAACGTCCTGCAGGGGTCAGTCCTGGATTTGGATTCAATATGTTTATTAATCACTTAGATAAAGGAGCAGAGAGTATGGTATAAAATCTACAGATGACAAGCTGGGAGGGGTTGCAAGTACTTTAGAAGACAGGCTTGCAATGCAAAACAACACTGACAAATTGAGAATTGGTCTGAATACAACAAGATTAAATTCAATAAAGATAAGTGAAAAGTGTGCCACTTAGGAAATAGCCAATGCACTATACAAAATTGGGATAACTGGCTAGTTGGTAATATTGTTGAACAGGATCTAGGAGTGATAATGGATCACAAAATTGAACATGATTCAACAATGTTATGCAGAAGTGAAAAAGATAGTTATGGGCAACCTAGGCTAGTGAGTAGACTGCATGAGTAAGTAGCCCTCCATCTCAGTGGGCTGCAAGACGTTTGTAACCAAGACTGTCTCCCAGGATAGGTGGTTTTGCTAACTGTGTTTGCATACCTAGAATTTGCAGGGTATACCAGTGAACTGTAGCAGTACTTTGACTGGATGTAGAGAGGATGCACCAGTCACTTCCAGTCACTGATGCGTGCAGTCAGCACAAACCTCACTTCACCTGCCCTTGCTTTGCATATATGTCACTTTAGTAATACGCATAGGAAAATACACAGAGAAAAAACAGCACAACCTGGCAACCTCGCGCATGGGCAACAACAAACAAAATGTCATGCAGGCCACACAACCCTGATGGGCCACAGGTTGCCCATCACTGTTCCAGGGTGTTTATACAAGAGTGTCATGTACAAGACACAGGAGATAACTGTCCCACTTGGCACTGATGAGGCCTCTGCTGACTTACTGCATCCATTTCTTGGTGCCACAGTTTAGGAAAGATGTGGACAAATTTGAGAGGAGAGTAATAAAAATGACAAGTCATTTTCAAAACCTTTTATGAGGAAAGATTAAAAATGGTCATGTTTAGTCTAGAAAAAAAAACGACCGAGTGGAGAGTTGAAAACAGTCTTCACATATATTAAGTGCTAATGTCAAGAGGACGGTGATCAATTGTTCTCCAAGTTCACTGAAGGCAGGACAAGAAATAGTGGGCTTAGTTTGTAGTCCTGGAAATTTAGGTTAAATATTAGGCAAAATCTTTCTATCTATAATGATAGTTAAGCTTTGGCATGAATTTCCAAAGGAGGTTGTGGCATCTTCATCCTTGCGAGTTTTTAAAAATAGGTTGGAAAAACATCTGATAGAAACATTTTACTAGGTTTACTTGGTCCTGACACAGCATGAGGGGCTGGACTTGATTTCTTGAGGTTCCTTCCAGCCCTATATTTCTATGATGCTGTGTTGGACCTATCACTGGGAAAGAAGAAGGAAGTTTCCATTGTAACAGAGATTATGAGCTCTTGGGGCAATAAGATACTTACTCTAAGTTTACCTGAATGAAGCAGGAGCTCATCCATTGGCTCTATCCCTCCCACAGGACAATCCAAAGATGACAGAAAGAAGAGTACAGTTTCTCACTGACCTGACTCCCGGATTACAGTCACTGCTTGCGCATTACATTGCAGCTGCAACATATGCCTCAGCATTGCTTCTCCCAGGATCTTGAGCTCTGGAGACAATTCAGCAGACATCTTCCCTTGTGCTTTCACATTGGACTGGCTCTCACATGACCCCTGACTCAAAATGGTCACACCCGCTTCCTGAAGTTTCTTGCATATGGCAACTATGCTCAGGATGCAAAGGAACTTGTGTTCAGGGCTGTGGTTCTCAGCATGAGTCAAAAGGTGGAAGATAGCTTGGTAAGAAGCCCGGTACTGTCCATCATCCTCACAACCAGGAATTAGAGGCACTGCTTTCTCAGAGACACCCTCCATGCCAGCTTGGGAATTGAGAGTCTCATCCACACTCTTACCTCTGACTTCAGGATTGTGATGCTCCTTGTCACATTCATAAAACCGCTTCATTGAGCTGATAACCTCTGCAAATCCGGCCACTAGAACTGTCCTTAAGGCAACATGTGAAAAGACTCCTAGTGTGAGCAGCAGCGCCCCTAATGGGCACTCTATGCTGTGATACTGCTCCCATGCCAGCTGTGCACATTCCTTGCTGCAGTACTTGGCATAGCTACACCCCCTGCAGGGCATGGATGCCAAGAGCTGCCTCAGGCAGTGGTGACAGTGGAGGTCCTCATTAGTGACACTAGTATCCCATGTAGTTTCAGCACCATCTTGGAGCAACAGGCTCTTCCCTGGGATGAGCACACTGACAAAGGCCTCTTCTTTCACCAAGCTCTCTCCTGGCAGAATATCCTTGGTGGCAACCAGATGACGTCCTCGGCAAGAGTCAAAGTTCAAGCCCACAGATGAGGAGGCACTTGAAATTTTACCATTCTCTTCCCAGAGTTCCAAGTCCTTTAGAGTTTTGCTGAGTGCTTCTGGCACGGACACTGGGCTACTCTCCTTCTCACATGCTTTCATTTTGAGTTGACTGATTTTTCTTAGCAGAGTCTGGTGCGTGGTACTAGTCAGACTCTGATCCATAGCTATTTTACTCTCTAACTCACTGATGGCCTCTGCCGCTTCCTGTAATCTTCCCAGATGAAGCAAACATTCAGTTTTCCGCAGCAAGATCTTAGGCTGAAGTCTGTCTGGATAGCCCTGGGCTTGAGCCCTGCTAATGTCTTCTAGACAATCCTGGAAAACAACGCAAGAGGACTTTTAAATGACACTATAAATACCTGAAAAAGATTTTTATTCTCCTGCCCCACCAGAGGTTGTGCACATTTCACTGCTTAAAAACTGCATTTACTGACTAAGATTCTGGTCCACGACGGACCCAGGGATCACAGTAAAGGGTTAGACAAGGCTGTCACTTTAAAAGTGAAGACATCCTACAGAGTGAACGTGCAGACGCTTCCAAGAAATTCAGAAAGACACTTGCAGCTAGAAGCACAATTTTAAAACCGTATTGGATCGCAGTCACTTGTGCTGGTATTTAAACTTTGTTTTTTAATTAATATTAATTTGGATTTAAATAAACACAAGAATATCCACCCCAGGTTTAGTGCACAGGATTTGGATAATAAAACGTTAATGATTGATCCCTCTATTGCAAGTATGGGGAACCTATGGCCTGTGGCTTGCCTGGATCTGGCCCCCAAGGCTCAGGGCCTCACCCCCAGCACCCCCATGATGGTGTTCCAGGCCCCCCCACTGCACACCACACAGCTGGAGCCACTGTGGCTTGACTTGGCATGGCTGCTGTACTAGCGCCAACTCACCCTGCTGCTGGTGGGGGGGGATGGACCATGAGCCCCACAGCCTGGACCAAAAGGCAAGCCATGGGCTGCATATGGCCCATGGGCTCTACTTGGCAAGGGGGGAGGAAGCAGCTTGGCACAGCAGCAAAAGGAAGCTCTGTTCCTGTGCTTGCTTGAAGACTTCATTCCTGTCATTCCCACTGGGTGCAGTGCCTGCAAGCACAGGGCCACACCGAGCTGTACCAGGTATGAACCCCTCCCATCCAGACCCTCCAACACCATCCCACTTCTGCAACCTACCCCCCAGACCCTGTCCCCCCTACTCACAGACGGCTCCTGCACCCCACCTCCCATCCAGGCCCCCCACCTCTCTCACAGACCAGTGTTCCCTGTAAACTGGGTGCTTGTGAGGTTGCTCCAGAGAGTCACATGCTGCCCAACTGATTAGCAGAGTGCCCACAGCTAGGTTTTATTTCTACTGGTGATGCACATCCATACATGCACATGGATGGAAAAGGTTACAAGGCACATTGGCTCAGACCCCCCCAGACACCTCTTGCACTCTACTTCCTGCCCAGACCTTGCACCCATATCCCACTTCTGCATCCTGCCTGCCACCCAGACCTTGCACCCCCCAACACGTTCTCTGGTAGCCCCCTCCTGCACACTGAACCCCTCATTTTTGTACCCACCCAGAGCCTCAGGGGGGCTACAAAATCTACTATTCTCAGACCCCCAGAAGTGTTAATCTGGCAAGCCCTTGATGGGGCTAGAGCTCAAGGGGAGCGAGGTGAGTTTTTTTCCTCCTCACTTGGGGGCCAGGTCAGTGAGGGGGTGGGTGGGTGTTCCAAAATTAGCTGTCTGTGGTCCCCACCCCAGCTTGACTTGTTTTCCCTCTTTTCTAGGTTCCAAAAACCATCCGAGTGCAGAGCAGCAGTGTATAAATGTAGCTAAGCTTTGCATGTTGTTGAGAGTTAGGAAATACAGTTATCTGGATTCCACTGTGCCAGTGTGCTTTCTTCTGTTATGTTTGCTGTATATAGAGCAAAGGACACACACTAAGCCCTAGGCACCCTTATCATCCATGAAAACTATACCATAAAAACTACTAAAAAAACAGCAGCAAGGGAGGTTTAGGTTGGACATTGGGAAAAGCTTCCTAACTGTCTGGGTGGTTAAACACTAGAACATGTTGCCTAGGAAGGTTGTCTAAATATCTCCATCAGTGGAGATACCCCCCAGCCTGCCTACTCCAGCCTTCCCCAAATGCCGTCTTAAGCTCTTTTGGACCCAAACCACACCATGTTGAACAGTGATGACGATGATGTTCGTCCATCGTGTTCGAAGAAGACCTTGACATCTAACGAGTTGTGGGCTGTCCACGGGGTGTCCGCAGATGGCTGATAAGGCCAACGCGGGCACGAAATGTTCTGCCACATGTCAGGCAGACATGTGCAGGCACCACTGTTGCAGCGTTTGCAACTCCGGCTTTACGGAGTGCTCACTTCTCTTGTGCTATGGTTGTCCTTCTGGCTTCAGATGTCTGACAGCCTTGGTGGATCAGCATGCGCCATGTCGATCGGTCTTGTGCCAGGGTCTCCCAGGAGGTGGTGTCTATTTCCAGGGACTTGAGAGAGGCTTTGTATCTCTTCTTTTGTCCCCTGTGCGATCGCTTTCCTTGAGACAGCTCACCATAGAAGAGCTGTTTAGGGATGTGATGGTCTGGCATCCTTGCAACATGGCCAGCCCAGCGTGTCTGGGCTTTCATTCATCAGCAGGGTGTGAACTGATGGCAGGCCTGCTCTAAAAAGGACTTCTGTGTCTGGCACCTTATCCTGCCACCGGATCCTCAGAAGTCTGCGGAGGCAAATCGTGTGGAAGTGGTTCAGTTGCCTAGCATGCCTCCTGTATACAGTCTAAGTCTCACTGGCATACATCAGGGTAGTTAACACTACTGCTCGATAGACTTTAAGCTTTGTAGCAAGGCTTATTCCACGGCGGTCCCACACTTTGGTCAGCAGTCTGCCGAATGCAGAGCTTGTCTTGGCGATTCTGCAGTTGACCTCAATGTCAATTGTCACTGCGCGGGAGAGGGTGCTGCCAAGGTATGTAAATTGGTCCACTGCTTGCAGCTTTTGTCCCTTCACTGTGATGGTGGGCTCTTGATGTTGGGCTTTCGGAGCTGGCTGGTGCATCACTTCGGTTTTCTTTGTGTTGATAAGAAGGCTGAAGTTGTCGCATGCTGCTGCGAATTTGTCCATGCTGGCTTGCATTTCCTGCTCTGATCCAGCATTCAGGGCGCAGTCATCAGCAAAAAGGAAGTCTCGTAGCACAGTCTCCTTTATCTTGGTGACAGCCTGGAGTCTTCGCAGGTTGAACAGTTTCCCATCAGTCCTGTATCTCAGGCTGACTCCCAAGGAACTGTTCTGAAAGGAGTCTGACAGCATGGCTGAAAACATTATGCTGAACAGGGTCGGTGCCAGCATGCACCCTTGCTTGACGCTGTTTGTGACGGGAAAAGCCTCTAAAGCTTCTCCATCGTCCAGAACACGAGCCGTCATGGAACTGACGTACCATCAGGATGAATCTGTCAGGGCACCCAAACTTCGACATGATGCACCACAGACCTTTGTGACTGACAGTGTCAAAAGCCTTGGTGAGATCCACAAAGATGGTGTACAGTTCACGATTCTGCTCTTGACACTTCTCTTGGAGCTGTCGGGCTGCGAAGATCATATCCACCGTGCCACGCTCTTTGTGGAAGCCGCACTGTGTCTTGGGTAATAAACCCTGTTCCAGGTGGTCAATCAGGCGATTCAACAACACTCGTGCAAGGATCTTGCCTGCGATGGAGAGCAGTGATATTCCTCTATGATTATCGCAGACTTGTCGATTTCCTCTCCTCTAGTAGAGGTGTACGATGGACGCGTCTTTCAGTTCCTGAGGAATAGATCCTTGATTCCAGAAGGACTGGAACAGCTGAGTGAGTTTGTCGACAAGCATTGCACCACCATCCTTATAGACTTCCACTGGGATCGCATCAGATCCTGGGGCCTTACCACTGGACAACTGGCTGATGGCCTGTAAGGTTTCAGTCTCTGATGGTGAGACATCCAGGCTGTGGTTGATATCCGCCTGGGGCATTCTATCAATCGCCTCGTTATTGATGGAGGATGGGCGGTTCAGTACGGATTGGAAGTGCTCAGCCCAACGCTGTAGAATCAGAGTCTTCTCAGTAATGAGAGTTACATCATCTGAGTCCAGTAGAGGGGAGCTCCCTGAGGGCTGAGGTCCGTACAAAGATCTAAGGGCTTCGTAGAACCGTTTGGCATCGTTTCCTGTCAGCAAACTTCTGGATTTCATCTGCTTTGGCACTCAACCAGGAGTCCTGCATCTTGCGAAGCTTGCTCTGTACGGTCCTGCGAATGTTGTTGAAAGCATTTTTCTTAGCTGTTGACGATGGGTCGTCTACCATTGAAGTAGACCGGAGTTATGGCCTTTTCCAATTTAGTGGTCCTTTATTTTAACACCTTAGACAAGCTTTATTGCTGCCGCCTTTCGGAAAACACAGTGGGATTATGAAGCACTGGCACTTTCAGAAACACACAGCATGCTACTTCTTTGAAGTTGTGGAATGGCATATAAAATAGGAATGTGAAAAGTTAACCAGTACGCATCACCTTTAACAGGGGATGCTTACTGGTTAAACAGCAGAGGCTGCTCCAGCCCTGTGGGGCCTGCAACAGGCAGTGGGCTGATCTGGCACGGGTGGGCTGGCGCAGCACCCCCTGCTCCCGCTAACTGATTAAATGTGATGTGTAACAAGTTAACCGGTTAATCAATTAAACAGGACTGTATATCACTAATATAAAATACAGTTGAATAACTGCAAAACTCCATTGCCAATACCAGATTCTCTATACCCAGTTTTCAAAGTGAATAGCTGCTGCTTTGTCCCTGAGTGTGTCAAATCTAGTACTTACCACAAACTTTCCCAAGTGAAAGAGGGCTGCAGAACGATTGGCATAACACAATGACATTTCTGGGCTGTCAAGTGCTACGTGGGACACTGCCTGCAAAGATAAAAAAGAGCAGTGGCCACACTGAGAAAGGAGGATTGGCATATGTTCCCTGGACAACTTGATTTCTGGAACATGAGATGTGCGTGGTCAGGAGTAGGAAGGGAACTAGAGATTTTCATTCCCAATCCGTCATCATTTTATCTTGACTTCTTCAATTTTTACTCCATGCTACAACAGCCAGGAGAGCTCGTGTGATTCTCAGATGCCTAAATAGGGGAATACAGACGAGCAGGGAGGTCGTATTATTTCTGTAGATTACTTTAGTGAAACAATTACTGGAACATTGTTCCTGATTTTGATGTGTGCTCTTCAAAGAGAAATAATGTTACATTGAAGAGCTAACACATTACTCATGCTCTGAAAAACCTGTCTTATAAAAGACTTAAGGTTAAAAGAGGATAGAATCACAGTCTATAAGTACTTACATTATGATATTTCATTAGGCTTTTTTCTGTACTGAACTCAGACTTGAAATACAATGCAAAATTTTAACAGGCCAACCAACCACTGGAACAATTAACCTAAGGAACATGGTGGATTCACCATCAATGTAAATCTGTAAACCAAAACTGGATGCCTTTCTAAAGACACATAGTTTAACCACAATTAATTTGATGTAGGATATTACAGGATGAAATTCCCAGGCCTCAGTTCTGTAGGAGGTCAGATTAGATTATTAGGCAGTCTTCCATCCACGGGATCACGAGGCAATTACAAAAGCCTATACATTGAACCTCAACACCCTTGTGAAAATGTTTTTATTCAAGATAAAACTAGACCCAATCCAGTCTAGTGCAGAGCTCTCTCAGCCCCTGTGAAAGTCACAGGGAGTTGAATGTGCTCAGCACCTTTCCAGACTGAACAAAGTGCAGTGCTGGGCTTGCCCAGATTTACAGCAGAGCTAGGAATAACACAGAGTCATGTGGTAACAGAGCTATTTACTAGAGAAGACTGAACATGCAGCAGAACAAAACCCAGGACTGTCCTACAGAGGGCTGCTTCCTTGCCAGTTTCACATAACAGGAGACCCTTGCCACAGGATTCATAAGCACCCGGGCATTGCAGCTAAAGGCCTGGTCTACACTCGCCCATTGTCACCCAAAGCTGCCTTTTGTCGCCAAAACAGCGAGAACATTTACACTACAACGTGATGGGAAAAACACACAATTTTGTCAATAAAAACACCCCCCCCCCCCCCCTCCCTTTATAGTGGACAAAGAGCCAGTGTGAATTTTGTTGAGAAATATCACACAATGCCTGCCCTGATGGCTCTGCTTCCTGTTTTGTGATGTCTGCTGCCCTTCAGACATGGGTCCCTCACCTGGCATGCACCCCAGGATGTACCTGACAGCTGAGCGGGATGCACTGTTGGGGGAACAAAGAACAAGTCCTGCCCGGAACACAGCTGCTGGCACACTGGCCGTGGACATTCCTGGGCAGGGAGAGCTCCCAGAGCTCATCAGGACGCTGCTCCAGGCAGCGAAGGGACAGATCCGCTAAGCCTGCCAGCCGCCCTGTGGGATGCTGACCCCGGCGGCTCTGCTCTAGCTGTGGCAGAGGAGCTCGCTCGCCATGTGGCCATGGAATGTGGCCAACGGGAGGGCCAGAAAACGTGTTACAAGTCTGCATGTGACAGCACTCGGTGGCCAAACCTGCCCAGCGCAGCCACAGCCGAGCCGCCCCC